TTTTTGGTTGTTTATTTGTTTGTTTTCAAATTGATTTATACACATTAAGCATAGGTTCAGAATAGGTTTATTTTCGGACTTTGGGTTCAATTATTTGTTGCTTTGTCTCCTTTGACAACTGCGCTATTCCGAGTACTTTAACCTTAGTTTTACCTGGAATATTTTAGCGTTGATATTGGTTGCAGAAAAAAAAAAAAAAAAAAAGGAATTAGATGTTTATTATCGGTAAGGGGAACAAAAAAGAAAATTTTGTCAAGCTTTTTTATGTTTTTGTTCTTGACTGACTTGATTTTATGGGTTTATTTTGATTTTTCAGCATAAGTGCTTTTTTTTGCTTTTCTGGAAGCACTATCTCATTAGAAAAAAAAAATTGTTTAATTTCTAATCTATTTATGGAAAAGTTTGTGGTCTTGTTCAAATTTTAAAAATCTTTGATGAATTTTTTTCTTTTTAACTGCAGTACAGAAGACAGAAGGAAAAAAGGAGGTGAAAATCAGTGGATGTTTGTTATTTTTTTGTTTATGATATGATTGCCTGTTGGGTATACATATTTTATGATGACAACAGATTATTTCAGTTTTAAAATATACTGTTGATGATGTCAATTAGGGGCTTTTTTTTTGGGTGTGTGATAATCAAATTATTGCTCTTATTATTTAGGCTACTGATAGTGACGATGATGCTGCTGCTGGTTTTTGGTTGGTTGAAAGTTTCTTTTTTTTTCTTCAGTTTTTATTCTATTAATAACAATTAACGTTCTGATGAACTTAGTGTTACTGTTGGATTGTTTCAGAAATTTTTAAATACAGCGAATTCTTCGTTTCTTTTTTGTTACTAATTTGTAAAATGGAGGTAATAGTTATAATAGTAGTAATCATAATAATAATAATTATTAGATAGGATTTATGTTGTGCTTTTACAGAAAAAGGAGAGGGAAAAAAAGTTGTGCATTTATTGAATTCTGAAATATACCAGGAAATCAAGGGAAGAAAAAGGAAGGTAATCAGTTCATCTATTATTTTGTATGTGAAATAAGGTATAGGACTGAGATGGAAAATTAGTTTTTGGTGCGTCAAACAACTATCGACAAAAAAAAAACGAAGTCTTCAGAACGTTGTTTAGCAGTTTCAATATCTCCAATACAAACTAACAAAACGGCAGCAGTAGCGTCATTGCAAATGAGTTTCTTTTTTTCGTTTATTTATGTCATTCATTCTGCAAAATACCGATGTAATTGCTCGTCATCTCTTAAAACTTACATCTTGTTTACTCTGATCTGAGCTAATTGTTTAGAAAGAAGAGTAAGGAAAAAACTCTCAGGAAATTTTGGCGAAAAAAATAAGAAAAGGGAGATTTGTTGAGTCTAGAAGCGGTCATAGATGACGATGATAATGACATTTCAATGGCTGTAGATGCGTTAGATAAACGGGGAGGCGATTGGGAGAGTTGATTCGGTCATTGTGGTAGTTGTTGATGATTAGGAAACTGGTTAGCTGAAGATGACCACACCTCTTCTGTGGTTTTTGGTTGTTTGCTTGGTTTGTTTGCAATTTTCTTCTGTCTAAGGCTTAGTTGGCCAATGTTGTGCCATAATTGTTCAATGACGATAAGGCATTGAAAACTTGTGATTTCTCCACCGAATTTTCATCCAAATTCTTTCTTCTCCACAGTATTGTTTATTGATATTATTATGTTATAGTTTTTTTTTTAAAAGTATATATAAATTGTTATTTCACTGCAGTGCAATTTGAACTATTCTTCTCACCTAATAAATGTCACTGATTACTTTTTAGAATGAAGGAACAAAGAAAAGAAAAAATAATGAGTGTACAACTGCAAAAGTTATTCTATTGGGGGAAAAAAATTGCCAATCTGTGTTTCATTTTGCAGCATCTTTTTTTTGATTTTAATGAGTTTAAATTCTTTTTAACTTTTAATTTCATACTGTTATTGTTCATTTGTTTTGATTGAAAGCTTATTGACTTTTAAAACAGTAAACATTTCAGGAACAATATTGCTTTGCATTTATGTTGTTGTATCTATTGGGTTATAAATTGCAAAATTATTTGTATCTTTTCTTCCTCTTATTCATAAACTTACGTTCTGTTTTGCAAATAAAAAAAAAGAGCTTTTTTTTCTTCAATTTATTTTGACAACTAGTTCTTAGTGAAGAAAAAAAAAACTTTTGAATTGTGTAGCTGAAGGAAAAAAAATGGGTAGAATGTGTTTGCAAACTGTGGAAAGTTAGCTGTAACTAAATGCAAAAATATGGCAAAAAGGAACAGTATCTGCGATTGAAATCTATTTGTTTTCGTCAGACATCCAAAACTGTATGGGATTTATGAATACAATTGATTTGAATAACTGTGAATAGATGGAAGTAATTCTGTCAATGTTTATACAGATTATATAAAGGTGCTAACTCTGAGAGCGCTACTCTTCCAATATTTTCTTATTGTTGCACTGTTGAAGTTTTTTTATTAGAACTTTTTTTTTGCTTTTATTAGTTTGGATTAGAAGTTCTTAGTTAATATGGATTTGATTAGAAACTGTTTCTTTTTTTGGCTTATCAAAACTTTCGAAGTTTTTGGTCATTTATTTTGATGCTGTGTTTATACGTAGCTTATGGGCAGATAACTGCTTTGTTTGGCTTCATGATTTGAGTTTTCGTTTCACTTTTTTTCGTGATATAATGAATAAAATTTTCAGATTCATTATGGGGACATTTTATCAGCTTAGAAGGTTAAAATTTGGTTGCGATTCCAGAACTCCGTCTTCCGCTAACTTTGACGAAGAAACTGTTTTGCTGTTAGCATTTCTTTTTTTCTTGCTTAATAGAAGGAATTTTTTTCCGTCTCAGAATTTACTTTTTTCAAGCGTTTTTCGGAATTTGATATATTCGTATTAAAAAAGTTGGAATTTTAAATCTGTTAATTGGCATGAACGCTGTTTTTTAACAACTAGTTTGTTAAATATTAGATTTTTTACATGTTTATTGTGAAAATAAGAGTTGGTTCACTACTGACAGGCCAACTCTGATTTCTCCTGAAAATTTACAAACTCCATCTTTAATTTTTCAGTAAAGGAATAACGAGAATTGGTCGGAATCCAGATGCTGTTGACGTTGTTCTTAACTCAACGGTTCACGGGTTTGTGATTTTTTAATGTTTCAGTTGGAGAAGAAATGAAGTATTTTTGTGTTAAATTTAGTACTATTTGATTTTGAAGAAGCTGTTGTTTTTGCCTTCAGTTATGGGTTTTTTGTGAAATCTTTTGCTTTGTTTGTTTTTCTTCGCAGATTTTTGGGGCTCCCTTACTGGTCTTAGATAGGTATACCCTTTCACTGTTTTTAATGCAATGCCAAAAACAAAATGGAAATGTTTATAATTGAAACTGAGTCGACTTTCCAATTATTGTAGGGTTTTGTAATTATTCAGGAAATAAAATATTTTCAGTAATATGATTTCGAGGTTGCACTCAATAATTGAGCTGAAGCAAGATAAAGGACAGCAGAAGTATGTGCTGATTGATAAATCACTCAATGGTACATATATCAACGACTTTAGGGTTTGATTTTCAGTTATTTTTTTCTGTTATACATTGTTCTGAACCAGTAATTAAAGTTGCTCCTTTAAACTTTTTTTAGAACAAAAACATTTAAAATTGTTTTGTTTTTGCGTTATTTCGTATTAATTTTTGTGTAAAGAGTTGCTTTTAAAAATTTTGCTTTAAAAAAATTTTTTGGATGTTACTAAATAGGTCTTAGATAGCACTGAGTAGGGAGATGTATTTTACTATTTAAAAATTTTATTCAGAGCTGAGGCGTCTAAACCGGTATTTACGTACATCAAAATTAGGTTTTTATTTACTTTTTCGTTGTATATGGTTTGGAGGATCATTATCTTGTAACTGAAGGCCTAAAATGGTCGCGCGTTACAGTTATTTAAAATAACGGTCTTTTAATATTGTTTTAATGGGTATTGATTGCGTTCATTTAACGCTTAGCTACTCTGAGGCTTGGAATACATAGCAGTGGGAAGTCTTCATGCTGCTTTCGTATTTTGAGTTCCTATGTAGAACCAGTGCTTGTAGAAATAGGTTCGTTGATTGGTGAAGAAGTGCAGTTTTTATGGTTAATATTATGCCATTATTGTCATTCCTACCGATTGAGCTGTTTCATGCATCTTTTTGCGGGTGTTATGGTGTATGGCCTACTGGTTTTGTCGTTCACTGATTGCTTTTTTTTTCAACAAAAAATGGCCTTTACTTGAAGTACTTCCTAATTATTGTGAACATTTTGGTTTGCAGTTTTTTTTTTATTGATAGTCTTCAGTTAGGTATAAAGATCTATCAGCTGTGAAGGATACCGTGAAATAGAGAGGAATTTTTAACGCATATTTTTTTTAGGCAAAGGGAGCAACGGATTTGAAGGTTGGAGATATTATAAAATTTGGCCATGTAAATGGAGCAGCAATTAAACCAGGATGTCATGGACCGCAGCACAGTGCTGAATTTACTTTTATTGTGAGTGTAATTTACTCTTCCTAATATTTCAACCAGAAGATTATCTTTCGTTATGGATGTGAAGGATTTTTTTAACAACCACTTCAGTTTCCTACTGAATCAGTCTACAACTTCAGTAGTGACACCTTGGATAAGTGTGTTCATCAGTATTGATTTATGCTGTTCAAGATTCAAAAGAAGCTAACATCAAAAGAAGTTTTACATCTACACGACCTTATGCGTCACATTCTTGCTCTTTCGTTTCCTGAGAGATATAAGTCAAGAAAAAGTTGTAGTGCAGTTCAAGAAAATGTGCACAAAGCATTATGAAAAACATAGGTTTAATTAAGTGTGCATATGTGCGAATGTTTCACGCATTATGATGTAAAGGCAACCCAAAGATTGACTTTTTAAAGCATCGATTATCAGCGAATTAGGAGAATTCTTGTTAAAATATTGTCTTGTCTCAGAAAGCTGTTTCAGCCTATTGTCTAAGAAATATAAATCATCTTGAAGGTTGTGAAGTGAGATGATAACGTTCTTTAAAATGAGTGAAAAATATGATGACTGAGTCAACTTTCAAGTTTGAATTTGTCCAACCAGAGTTCTTTTACGATGGTTGGGGTACTGTTTGTGCTTCAAGATCTGTCTGAACGATGGTAGCATCAGATAATAATTCACTGCGGGGTTAGAGTGGCTGGATTGGGGAATAAGAAATTTTTTAAGCTGGAAATTGGTTCTTGATGGTATAGAAGTGGTTTCGAGGTTCTAAAGGTGAAATATAATGTGTTTTTGGCAGCTTGAGGATAGTAAGAAAGCAACTTCTGAAGCAAAAAATTGAAGTTTAATGTATCAAGAGCGTGTGTAGATGTATTTTTTCGTTTTTTATGTGTGCGTGTATGTGTGAACGAATATTGGAACATAGTACGTGTAGGCTTTTGCCGCTGCTGTTGTGGTTACCGCTATCGCGACGCCGACACCGCCGCGGCGGGTGATATGCGTTTGCGGTTTGCGACAGCTCGTTAAGCTCGTATCTCCGCAAGTGTACCTCACTGTTAACATCCTTATTGGCTGTTCTCGCTGGGATTAATGTTTTTGTGGAGTTTTTTATTTTTATTGCAAATACTTTTGATCTTCGTGATTTTCGCAGTCATCTAATTCGAGTACTTTCACATATAATGAGAGCATATTTTATTTTTTCGATATCAGGTTGGATTTTAGGTTGCTTTCTTAAATTTTTTCAAAAGTTTTTACGACGTCTATTTCAAGGAGTAGACATTTTTTAATGGATGAATGGTAGAAGGATTTTTTTGAGGAGTGTTGATAGTTTGTTCTGCAGGCACCTGTCGACTGTAAAAGTTTCAATGTTTACGGGTAGAAGGTGCTATAGTACTTTGAGAAAGTAAGTCGTGAAGAAGCTTTTCTCTGAGACTTGTTTACCTTTTGTCTTAAGGGATGCTATATTTATATATGGAAGTATAGAGGCGGTGTTGGTGGTAATTTATGAACAGTTTTTTTGCCTTTCCATTTCAACATTTTGAAAAATGACATGTAAGGGAATGATAGGTATTTCTTAACTTACTGTGGCGGCTGAAAGGGAATTAAGGCGGCTATTTCAGAAGAATGTACTTCTTTTTAACAGTTTGTTTTGACCTCATACATGTTCGCCTAGGATTTGTATGAATAGTGTTGTACAGGTTTCAATGTTATCTCAGCTGCATTACGGAAGTTGCCTTATTATCGTTTGTAGAAATAAGTAGTATTATCAGTAGTTTTTTGGGGCCGACTCTGTTTATGTTAAAAGAAGTGCAATATTTATGACATCTTGGTCAAGTTATTGCTATGTTTTTTTCTTTCTTCGTTTAGGTACTGCCGTTCTTTTGCTTTTGATGTCTTCTTTTCGTCGACGCAAAGATTCGATCAGTTATCTACCGCCTTTTTTCTTCCTCTTAACAATCCTGTGTCACTTCTGTTTCGTTGATGCCTACAGAGTTATTGATTATTTGGTGTAGATTTGGCAAACTGAAAGGTTTTTTGCAGACAAATCTTTTCAAATGTAGGGTAAAAGTTTGTCTAAGACGTTAAGCTCTGTGTTCATTTCGTTTGTTGCTGTTTTCTCTTGGGTTAAGAAACTAGGTTCGAGCGTTTTTCAAGAAACTTATACACGTAAAGAGTTAAACAGCTAATTCTAAAGTTGTTTATTGCAGTTATCAGTGACACTTTGCTATCGTCATTGCGAAAAATGATTAACCATTCTGGAAAACTCAGCTGCGGTAGATTCCACAACACGTGTTTTCATTTCTTTGGTCTAAAACATCATAAGTGCTGTTATAGCTATTCATTTCTACTGCGAGCGATATTGTGAATTTTTGCAAAATTCTTAATTTAATTTTTTAACTTCTTTAATCTTTCCTGCAAATTTTTTCTCGTTGAAATAGATATTAGTAACTCAGTTTTGTGCTGCTTTTTGCATGTGTCGGAAGCCGACGTTTTTTGAAGTCACCTATTTCCTGTTTCCGTTTATTTTATTT